AAGATATCTTCCCTTGTTTCAGTTCAATCTATTTGCCTCTTAACTGCACATACCCTCAGGTGGAAATCACGATATAAGCGCCGGGAACATGACAAAGTCTTTGTATGAGGTACTATTCATCACCGTAATTTCCTTTGCCCATGCAGCCGTTTGAAGAGTCTAATCCGAAAGCGGGGAGAGCCGATCAAGCCTGTATCCATCAGCATGTCTTTCTTCTCCATCTGATGTTCTTGGTCAAGTTTCAAAGCGGCCATATTCTCTTGCAAGCCGGCCGTCCCATCCTCCCTCTGCACGCCAGCTTAGGTAGCTTCAAGCTTTGTGACGCTTTCCTCGGTGCAGACAAGAAGGCTCATGTACGCAGAAGCTCAGCAGTTTTATTGAGCAGCACCTCAGCAACGAATATGTATGTTAACAAGTTCCTCTTCAAGGGCTTCAATCTAAGTCTTTCGACTTGCTTCAAGGCCCAGGACCTCCATCATATCGTCAAGCTGATCCATCTCTTCCAGCCGCTCGTCCAGAGCTTTAGAATATGCTGCTTCATAGACTGTAACACTGGAATTGGTCTCCTTGAGGGTTTCAAGTACCTCTCGAAGCTTCACTGCAGCGGAGTTGAATGCCATCTCTGCTAGGACCGAGTTGTCGTGGCCAAAAGCCCATTGGTCGTGCACAATCGTATTCTGAATATCGGCAAAGACTTTTGCCGTACTGTCGATTTCGTTAACGTGGGATTCCCGGCAAATCGCAGAGGACAGGTCCACGTCTCGGTGGTGGAAGTCTTGGGGAATTCTGGCGAATCGCTCGCAAAGATTCTTCCAGTGACCATAGAAGTCAAGGTCAAGCAATCCAAGTGACTTCTGGAACCTTTCTACCATTCTGTGGTGCTCGAAGTAGCCGTACGGGAGGCTAAAGATTTGCTGTTGGGTATGCTCGAAGTTGGAAACACGAGCATAGAATGATGAGTTCTTCATTTGATGCAGGAATGAAGTTGAACTAAACTAATGTGTAGAATGAGCCGAGACCTGCAATTGATGCCCGAAATTCTTGCCATGTCCGTCGGCGCAGTAGTTGAATAAGTTGCGGGTGAGACATGGTGAATGCCATTATTCAAGATGAATAGAAGTTGCTTTCCGTCGTGAATGGGATTATGACTTGATCGCGTCTTGTTTCAACAAAAGGATATTGTAAGGATGAAAGGGCATTTTATTCATCCTGAATGGTATTATCATATGATCGTGATGACGTTGTTAATCAATCTAATCTGATATCCAGCACATTTTGCGCACGAACGATACCCCCTATCTCCGGTTACTCATCTTCGTGCGCTTGTGCTTGGTTTTGGAGGTGACGTAGTCGTACTATGTATTATTGATGTGTGCTGATAGGAATGGCATGGTCACCATTTTCGTGGTGCGGTTAGCTCGAGCATCATATATGTTCCATGCGAAAACTCTAGTCCTTCCAACGCGCTGACAAATGCACCCAGGACGTTTTGGATAATAAGATACATATCACTGGCTTTGGACTCCTTCTTAACGGGGAACGCGATCTCTATTTTGATTTCCCGTAAATTAGAAAATTGTATAAGATCATCCTCGACTCGAGGCATACTGTGGTTGTTGTGAACAAAGAGTCCTCCATCCGCAGTAGAACAAAGGCCATTGGCGAGTGCATATATGGCCATGACATCGTGAGACAGCGAGTGCCTGTTAGTATGCAACACAAACAACTAAGGTACTTGTTCACGGATTCTTGTCCGTGGACACTCGCACCAAGAACTGGCCCAAACCCTCGGACGCACATTGGAATGTGGGCCAAGTGGTGGAAGTTGGTCTTTCTTCTAATCGATCCCACGCCCCACAATTTTTTTTCCACGTCCTGAGCATGTCTTACGTTCTTGACATGAACTCCGTGGACCATGATTTAAGGTCATAAATTGTCGTGTCGTGCATTAGCTTTGTAAGCTGTGCAGCCACAAACCATATGTGCGCCAGTTTCCTCATCTTGCATGTGTGTCGTTTAATGGCGTAAAAGGAGAGCAAACCTTGAGGGACCAGTTGTACAAGGGTGCGGAAGCTGCCACCATTAAACGCACCGTTCCAGTGAGTGGTCTGCTTGGCAGTTCGAATGAACTCGAACCCGTCTGGGTTCATTTTTGTGGTCCGAACAGCGACATCAGTCAGCAATCCCTTCACTGTCGGGTCGTTTTTTGGTCTCCAGTCACATGTACCTGATGTACCCGAGCATGGTGCCATGCAGCAAGTCATAAGGCATATCAAAGTGCGCGTTGAAACCCTCAAGATTCGAGAATCCTGTCAGGGGCTGTCGTATCCCCAACAGCCCATGCTCTTTGACTTTCTTCGTGTTTTGCGGCGTTCGCAATGGCATTGGTCTGATTATGTGTCGCCAGCGCTTGTTCTTTGAACGTTAATGGTAGCATACCCGGCAAAAAAAGTCGGCGCCCCACATATGGGAGCAGAGGTAGGTGGCTGCCAGGTTATCACCAACAATCATGACGAGCCCTCTGCATAACATTTGGTACTGCCGGGTTTCCGAGTTGAAAATGAGGATTCCACGCTGCAGGCAGACCAGATCTTCTCCGATAGTCTCAATCTTCATCTTGGAATATACGATAATGGTGAGAATATTAGGTGCGTGATATTTTTCCTGCTCTCAGCGGCGGGCTCGAACGTTTAGGGCAATTTTCGTTGAATTCAGATGCTTCACGCATCGACGCGTTGCTAGGCTCTGGCAATGCGACTTTCGCCACATCTTAGCTATCACGTATGCGATATAACGCTACGTCGACATTATTGTGTACTGTAACACGCCCATTGACTGCTGGTACAAGTCTTTGTCCGGTTTGTTGTGAACATCGATGCCAACACCCGCCGACTTGATTGAACCGAGTATTTCTTCTCCGGTGTCTGGTAGAGCTTCTCTGTGATCTTTGTACGGCCCACAGCCGTTGTTTGAACGATCTCTAGACAATCTTAACCGGCTTGATTGCCGGGTAGCGGGAACCAGCGACGTCGGTGCTTCTGCTGGGCTGCTACCAAGTTCTGATATTGCCTTCTTCAAATCCTTGTCGAAAATTGGGCATATTAACCCCCAAAGCCAGTGAGGCTCACACAAGTGCCCACCCTTCGCTCCCTCCGCTAAGGTAGGAATACTTGCTCAGTTTGGATATTATATTTCTTGTTGCATATCGCTGCGATATCGAAGAAATTATAATGGTTTTCAGGCAAATACATATGGCTCTTCAGGGAATTCTTCCAATCCATGGTAGGAGAGCATCCCGACAAGCTCGTTGAACGACGACTTCGTAGTTGTGGGCAATTTATGGGAGCCTTTCCGCTGGCGCAGGACCTGTTCAAGCTCTTGAATCCAGATTGATAGGCGCATTCAAGGTGCGTTCACAGTAAGCAACTGTCCAGTTCCGAAGTCGCAAGTTCCTAAACGTTCTTGTTGCCAAGCATCATCTTCAGTCACCAACTGAAAATTTCCTCTTGCGCACATTCGCGTTTAGAGCTTCGCTGTCTATCTTGTAGGTCAATACCCATCTTACTGGAAGAACAAGACCGTCGTCTGTCTTTTCATTGCAGACTTTGACAGTGACCTTGGCTTGCAACCTCTTATATCTCAAAGCTGGTGGCGTTGTGAAACTTCCTTCAATTGGTGCTGATGTCCAGGCAGTTTCTTCCCATTGACTTCGTGGTCAACCGAAACCGAAGCAAATATGCTAAACAAGGGTACGCATGGCCAAGGTACAGGATATATAAGTGTGTTTTGCGCCTTGGCTCTGCGGCCCTACGCGTTGTCGTTGCATTCATCCTTTGCAGAAAAATTGTGACTATTGCAAGTCATAAAAGCTTACTCGACGATTCTGGCTTCCCGGAATCTCTTCGCTTGTTAACTTTCCTGGCGTAGAACCTCTTGGGTTGCTCATGTTACACCAGGTCCCTAACAATCAAACTTCACGACTCTTGCATGGAGAATATAGGTATTTCAATGGGTGTGCATCAGTGTGTCCTTGACTTGGATGTAACATCGTAGGGGTGGCGGCTTCGTCATCCAGTCTCAGTCCCTATTTTCAGCTCTTCATATAGATGCCTGGGATCACTAAATGTCGGATGGGTGAATCTCCGAGGACTAAAGTGGAACTTAGATCAAAGACAGATGTGTGCACTCAACCCTGATCAAGAGGTGGTTGTAGATGTCTATTTTTATGAAGTGAAGTCGGAGAAACCTTCTCCACTCTATCTCAGTCTAGCCGCATTCGCCAGAACAATGTCATCGAAACATGCAAGAACATGAATGAGACGATGACGCGTCCCAGGGGAACCTCCTCTAGAGAGGTGAAAACCTTGAGAAGCCTCAACCTCTATCCATGCTGGCAAAGGCGACCTGGCTGTATACTGCATGAGAGGGTTTTACCGTCTCACACTAAGATCCCTGTATACTCCTGCTAGTATCTCTTTGTTGTCGTGACGTGTTAGCACTCTTGAGCTGTGATTAGCTTTTCGCTGTCCGTTCGTTCACGGTGCCTTCAGCCCTCTTTCAATTTCACTCATTACAGAAGCAACACTATTCCACGCAAACTTAGTGTCGCATCGGCGGGGCGCCATGGCGCACTGGCGCACAATCGATGTAACAGCCGAGAGATGCTCAATTGGCTTCAATTGGGCAAGTTCTCAGACATACATACACCTTCCCCGTCACTGATATTCAGTTGGAAGTCCTTTCGCAACGCATACGTCTGAAAACAAGACAACAGAAGAAGTGTTGAAAATAGGCCTAGAGAACAAGCTGTCGGAAAAAGCGTCCCTGCAGTGGGTTGATACCTCAGGCATCAAATGCCCTCGCCATTCATTATTTTCATTCGCACGCCCTTCCTATTGACTACTAGCCTATAATTCCCCATCTCACAAATCCTCCCTGCTCAGCGGAGGAGTAAAGATACATTCTGGCAAAGAAAATAGGGAAATGAAAAATATTATACCCGACAACGGCAGGATTCGAACCTACGCCTCCGAAGAGAATTGATCACGAGACCTGAAATCAGGTGTTCTAGTCAATCGCATTAACCACTTTGCTACGTTGCCATTTCATGCTGGGATTGCATGACAGACTACCTATAACACACATGAATATTCTTTCCAGATTGGTCATGCGACAGAGCGCTGTTTCACTACTGTTTCCAAACATTATGTTCCTGGGTCAATGAGTCAAGCGACGCCTCAGGCCCTCGATCTTCTGAAGGCCGGTGGGGTGGTAGGAATGCAACACATTGCATGCGTCGGAGCCTTATGAGGTTTCTGACTAGCGCTACATCAAGGGCTTTCCCACGCAGAGATGCGAAAGTCATCGAGTGAATACGGCGCGATCGAGAAACTGCCCCAGCTAATCCTTCCGGATGGCAAGATGACCCGTTACATGAACTAAGAGCGTTGAGGTAGATAAAGGGGTCGAATGGGACGTGAAGGCTTTCGCGACGGACACAAGAGATAGTGGCTGATCCCGGATATTTTCCGCTTGCTTTGAACGAAGAGGATCTCGTTAAAAAGCTACTAGACGACCCTCACCGGTCACACTCCAGCCAACTTGCGAAAGTGGAAAACTAGTGCTTCAGGAGTGCCAACAGAGGCAATGGCGAAAGGTGGTCGCGACCACTCTTGGTGTCTAGCAGAAGTAAGGAGAAGTCAATCTACAGGATGAAACACTGCGGAAGAGGTTTTTCGGCAGTTTCGCTGGTTGTTTGTTTTGCTTGTCATTCAGGTATCATGTCCTTTGGTTGCTAGTTTCGAACTTCAACAAAGGGGGAGAAAAGGACATGCGGACACAGTGCATGCAATGGTTGGTGAAAAGAACGCTTCAGCACACATTACACAGCAATTCATAACAACATATCAAGTTCGTGTAAGACGGAAAAGCGGGATTGCGTGTCTTTGACCCAATCATCGTGTTCAGAATCTCGTTATTTACATGTGGTGTGAACGTACTATTGGTGCATGTATTGGCCCAACTTCCAGGCCCAAAGGCCGGTAACATCATGGGGCTCGAGATTTTTACGCTTACTAGAATAGATACAGCACGGTAAGACTAGGAGATATGTACAAAAGGCAGCCATAAACGAGGTGAAAGCAATCCTTACCCCAGACATTGCCTTCCAAGGCAAAGTTTGGGACCCAAAGGCGATTTGATCCAGCTGTGTATCGTCGTTTACTCCTCACTTAAACCAGGCCGCTCCAAGGTGAAGTAGACTAACTTTTCTCATCCCAAAGCACCTTCAACGGCGACCATAACAGATATGTGACGTGGGAATCGTGAGAGGCTACGACACTGCTCACATCGTTGTTTTTCTCAACACCACGGCATCACAACAAATTAGATGTCTACTAGTAGCGGCGCAACATTTGTTTCCTCTTTGCCTACCGAAATTGTTCTGAAGGTCATGGAACACTTCAAGCATGACTCGAGCACATTGCTTAGCGTGATACAAGTCTGTAAAGTCTGGGAGGAAGTTACGATGGAATTCAAATGGAGCACGGCTCCTTTGAGAGCATTCACAACACTCTCATCTATGCGGAAACAATACTACGCCAATAAAGCTCGGAGTATTAGTCATGTCAGAAAGGGGAGCGGCATGTTAGGGCACCGGCTTGCGGATTGTCGTTCGACCCAGAGACTCGCCTTCCCACGCCTCTCCCATCTTTGCCTCAACGACAATATCAAATCCGAGTATCTGAAAATTTCCTGTTTCGGGCAATATTTGCATCCTAATTTAGGGTGTTTGAGTCTGCCGTCCACGAAGATGGAAAACAACGTCAGGATGCTCATTCCTGTTAAATGCCCGAATGTGAAGGTGCTCGCCTGCCATTATTTTACAAGTTTACGCAGCCCTGATCATTCCTTTCTGCATTTGATGCGGCCACTGACAGGCCTGGTCCAATTCATATCTTGCGTCGATACCAGCGAAAGCACTGAAGAAGCGACTGAAGCCTTCTGTCATGCTGCACTGCACTTGACCAAATTTAATACGCTCACATTCAGCCTCAATATAGATTCAATAGTGGTCAATAGCCTGGTTGGCTAGCCAATGATTGTTTTTCCGGCCCTAGAGGAGCTTGGAGATCAGATTGGCCAGTCCGTTTTCGCCACCCTCCTTTGTCTAACAACGGGCCTAAGAAAACTTACCATAACGACGAGAGGCTGGTCTTACAGACTTTTTGAAGCCGTAGACGATTTAACAAACCTGACAAGCCTATGCCTTGGATGGAATGATGCGAAACTTTGCGGGTCAGACCTTGAGAAAATTTCGAAACTCACCAGATCTACTGTCCTCTCCATTGGCAACTATTTCCGGTGGCTCGGTCTGCAAGCTTCTTCATTGATAAATGACGACTTTCACCAATTGGTTTCCCGCCCCCCCTGGGCTTGGAGACCTTACTTTTGCAGCTCGTCATTGCTTTGACTCTAGCATTCCGGAGAGCCTGGGATTGTTTTGCCCAAGGCTTTCGACATGTCAAATACGAGGACCCCTAAGTCTGGCCCATACAACTTTTTACGAGGACGTGAAGCCGCCGATCTTTTCTCGTCTAAAGGAGCTTTATCTCTCACCGAAAACAGGACGGTAAGTCCCTACAGCTACAGCATCCTTCTCATAACTGACATGCGAAGCACTCTTCAGAATGGTGACGATATCATGACACCAGGACTCGTTCTTGGTCGATATGCTCCGAATCTTGCGGATTACAGTTTTGATATTTTGTGAAATCTTGCAACCTGTTGAGGAATGAGACTCATAACAAGGATTCTAAAGGGTATAGGGTTAGAACTGGGGATATCCTTGACATGGACGTGTTCAAGGATCTAATCTTTCCTTAAGCATACGTGCTGTAAGTCTGGCAATGAAACCTCCAACTCACTTAAGTGGGTACCGGAGTCTTCTGACAGCAATTTGTCACCCATTTATGCACCAATCAATGGCCAGTGAGAAGCGCGATTATTTTCGGCACGCTTGATCAGAATCAATTGGAGCAACGACTAACATACGCGCAAATGATTGACGTGGAGCAAATCGCCAATGTTGCAGGTTCAAAGCATAATACTCATGCCGAGTCACCCTCCACGTCAATTTCCTATCGCACCCCTGTGCCGTGGTGCTCATTTCTCACTGAAAAAGATGGGAAAGCCATGTTGGTTACACCCTGGGTAAAATACAAACTTCCCTAGCCCTAATTGTGTGTCTTGGAACAGGTGATGTAGAACTAAGGTTCAACAGCGGCTCCTCGCCGCTCGACCGTTGAAGCTAGAGATACCTTAGACAATACCTCAGTTTCATACCGCACTTTCATCGATCCCTTGTAGAACGTCGGAAGGACGTGATAGAGGTAGTCTAACACTGTTGTGCGTGAATTCGCTTCGTAAAGCCACATAATGCGCACCCAAAAATGTCATGAACGAACTATCACTCTCCAAGTTTTTGTTCCAGTCATGTCTTAGTGCCCTCTCAAGGACGTGTTGATGGCTCTAACGCCAGAAGCCTCCATGGACAGGCATTCATTATCACTGCCTTCTCGCTAGTCTACATTGAACATCAGAGGAAGCCTGCCATTTTGCAAAACTGAGACCAAAGAGCACCCAACTCGGTAGGGCACCTACCACTTGCATTATGAGGGAGAGAGCTCCTCAAGAGCAAGAGAGAGAAAAATATATTTAAGTCTATACCCCGATCCTTTGGGGATCAGGTCCCTATCTACATGAAAGCACAGACTAAAGAGAACAAAAGGTGAGATGCCTGTACCTCACTGGCAGACGAAAAGCGGGGGCGAGACAAGGATGTTTCTGGTAGATACCGCCACCCCTGTCATAGTGTTATAGGGCTGGAGTCGGTAGGCGGAACGGCCTATGGCGCTGATGCGTCACATTGGCAGAAAATAGTCATTTGAGTTGGAGACGAATATAGGTAGATATCTCAGTCTCGTTTCCGCCGGGTTGATCTGAGAGTCTCCTTTATACTAAATAAGCTCCGACAAGCATCGTCTTAGGTATTTCTAAAGCTATTCCTGCAACAACTACATATTGTTGTGCCGAATCGATCAAAACTTGGGTTTTAATCGCATGACTCGTATCCACTGGGTCAACTGCCGCCGTTGCTATAAGCCAGCTGGTATCACCGACAGTGGTGGCTCATCGGCGCAATAGAACAAGGTGAGATGTGAGAGTGGATAAATCGAGATAATGGAGAGATGGTGGAGATGTGGGAAGGAAATGAGAAGAAGATGATGAATACTGCTGTCCACTCGTCTTATGTATCTTCCTGGTAAGGGTTATGTCATATCTCAGACGGCCAGCTTTCATTTGCCGAGTCGCTGTTCTTGTAGTTTTTGTCCTTCTTGCGCTTCCTTGAGTAGATTGGCTGGTGTAACTCAGCCTCGGCAAGATCCTCCTCTTTATCTATATGCTGGGCCGTTTCGGCTTTTAATGCAGTGGCTTTAGTCATTTCGGTTGCCCCTTTCATCTCTTCAAACCAAGATTTAGATTTCTTCTCGGGAATCCCAATTGAGCCGCAGAACTCATTTGGCTTGTCCTCGAGCTCTGCAAGCATGTGGCCAAATGCTTGGCAGGAAACCCCCGGTTCGGACGCACCCTTGATCATGTCATTCGCTTCGGTCGCGTCAGTTGAGACGGTGCTGGTTTTGACGACATCGAACGCACCCGTGAGCAGGTTTTTGGCAGTCTTTTTGGTATACTCTGCAACCGACTCATCCTTTGCTGGTAAAGACCCTCTAGTGCGTGATAGATCAGTTTTAGATGCACTTAACTCCATTGTGCCACCTTTTCCCCGTATAGCTGCGGGGGAGACTGCGAATGCGGTGTGTATGGGTACATTGGCCTCAATATCTCGTACGGCAGATTTTCTCTTTGCCGTTTCCAGCTGTTTGGTAATGAGTGGAGTGACCGTCGTTGCAGGCTTGTTTGCTATACCCTTTGTGTCATTAGCGGCAGGCTGAGCCTTTCTTGCGACAGAAGACTCTCTCCCGCTTGCAACAGCCTCCGCAAATGTTCGATATGCCAGTCTACCAGATGCTTTTGGTGCTAC